GGGGTTCTGACATCTTGGACTCGGTTATGGAGAGGAAAAGAAAGAACTATGGAGGAAGCCGGGGCTGTGAGTAGCTGGATCTCACCATCAGAGTATGTGAGCTCTTTCTATGGCCATGTTGACCACACAGCCGGCACAGACTGGAACGTCTACCTTCTTCTGTGTCCCCAAAATATCCTCTGGCCCCCGGAGTGATCAGATTGTCAGGTTTCTGGTTTCCGAGTATTTTTCAGGGTGGTGATGTACGGAAGGTCCAGATGGGGTACCGGAGAGAGTTTGGAGGTCTGTGGTCACCAACTGGTAGACCAGTTTACTGATATCTTCAAGTGTTCCAGGTCCAGGTCCATCTTGGCACTTTGAATGATCATAGACCAGAAGCCCCGATACCTACTGTGATGAAAAGCTCATCTTGAAGTATACCGAGTCCCGCCTTTCACCTCTGATCATCACCAATACGCATATTGTCCTGATGGACCTACAGAGGTCGCTGTTGCTTCCAAACTTCAACTTCTTATTTTCGGGTCCTTTTATTCATGAAGGTTCTGCTTCTAATTCTATGATTCCTTAGAACATGACTTCTACTGTTCTGGAGGTTGGCCTCCATCATTGGACTTGTATGTGGATCTTGGACTTATTGTCCACCCGCCGGCATCCTGTGGTCATGGGGTTATTTATCACCATCCACTCTTTCCATCGGTGTTGGCTCTCCACGGGGAGGTGTCCTCATCCCCCTCCTTTATACAATATACACTATATTACCACAAAGTATTGGGGACGCCTTTACACGCACATGAACTTTAATGGCATCCCAGTCTTAGTCCGTAGGGTTCAGTATTGGGTTGGTCCTTTGCCGCTATAACAGCTCCGCCTCTTCTGTGAAGGCGTCCACAAGGTTTAGGAGTGTGTCTAGGGGAATGTTGGAGCATTTGTGAGGTCAGGTACTGATGTTGGGGGAGGGGCTCGCAGTCTTCACTCTAATTCATCCCAAAGGTGTTCTATGGGGTTAAGGTCAGGACTCTGTGCGGCCAGTCACGTTCCCCCCCCCCAAACTCCCCCATCTCTCAGTATAATTTGTATACAGCTGTCATTGGTCTCATCATGTAACAGCTGCTGCCAGAGAGGAGCTCAGGAATGTTCTTCAGTGGTCAGCCTCTGACATCATGGAATAGAAAGAAGACAAAGGAACTTCTTGTGGAGGAATTGATGGCATCCGACTGCCTGTGGAGAGAGTCTCTTCCTTTAAATATCTTGGCGTTCACATTTCAGATGATTCCGCTTGGAGAAGATGAACACAGCAGTAGTGAGGAAATCTCAGATACCTTTTGTGACTCTTGAAAAAGACACAGAAACCAAAGAAGTTAATTGTGTCCTTCTACCCATATGTGATAGAGAGTGTCAGGGCCGTCCTTATATTGAGGCAGCCTGTGGCGACATATATGGTAGGGATGGCCGTGGAAAAGTGGGCTCACTTATATCATCACAATATTTGTATAGCAGCATAACAGCTGAAGACAAAAAGTCCCTTCAACAGATTCCAAGAGTGTCTCGGAGAATGATTGGTAGTCTGCTTCCTGCTTTGGAAGACATTCATACTACTGGTGGTGTCAGTATAGTGAAGGATCCTTCTCATTGCTGCCATTGTCAGTCCGAATTCCCGGGTTCCACCATCTTGTCTTCTCGACCTTTACCCGGGGGAAGACTTCTCCCAGACCTGTTCTGGATACCTTATCGAAGCCCAGGGCCCCACCATCTTGTCTTGTTGACCTTTCCCTGGTGGAGACATCCCCTTGGACCTGTTCTGGATATGGTAATGAAGCCCAGGGCCCCACCATCTTGTCTTCTCCACCTGTCCCTGGTGGAGACATCCCCTTGGACCTGTTCTGGATACGGTAATGAAGCCCAGGACCCCGCCATCTTGTCTTCTCCACCTGTCCCTGGTGGAGACATCCCCTTGGACCTGTTCTGGATACGTTAATGATGCCCAGGGCCCCACCATCTTGTCTTCTTGACCTCTCCCTGGTGGAGACATCCCCTTGGACCTGTTCTGGATACGTTAATGAAGCCCAGGGCCCCCACCATCTTGTCTTCTTGACCTCTCCCTGGTGGAGACATCCCCTTGGACCTGTTCTGGATATGGTAATGAAGCCCAGGGCCCCACCATCTTGTCTTCTCCACCGTCCCTGGTGGAGACATCCCCTTGGACCTGTTCTGGATACGTTAATGATGCCCAGGGCCCCACCATCTTGTCTTCTTGACCTCTCCCTGGTGGAGACATCCCCTTGGACCTGTTCTCGATACGGTAATGAAGCCCAAGGCCCCACCATCTTGTCTTCTTGACCTCTCCCTGGTGGAGACATCCACTTGGACCTGTTCTGGATACGTTAATGAAGCCCAGGGCCCCAGCCATCTTGTCGTCTTGACCTTTTCCTGGGGGGATAGTTCCCCCCGACCCACTCTGGATACGTTACCAAAGTTTGGGCCCCAACCATCTTCTCTTCTTGACCTTTCCCGGGTGAAGGCTTCTCCCCAGACTCATTATCAATATGTGACCGAAGTCCAGGACTCCATCGTCTTGTCTTCTCAAACATTCCCTGGTGGAGACTTCTCCCTGGACATGTTTTGGATATGGTAACAAAGTCAGAGGCCTCACCATCTTGTCTTTTCGACCTTTCGCTGGTGGCGACTTGTCCCTGAACTTGTTCTGGATATGGTAATGAAGCACAGGGCCCCGCCATCTTGTCTTCTTGACCTTTTCCTGGGGGGATAGTTCCTCTCAAACCCACCCTAGATACGTTGCCAAAGTTTGGGCCCCAACCATCTTCTTTTTTCGACCTTTCCCGGGGGAAGACTTCTCCCCAGACTCATTATGAATACGGTATGTGACTGAAGTCCAGAAGTCTTGGTCTTCTCGAACATTCCCTGGTGGAGACTTCTCCCTGGACCTTTTCTGGATATGTTAACAAAGCCCAGGGCCCCGCCATCTTGTCTTCCTGATTTTTTTCCTGGGGGGATAGTTCCCTGGATACGTTGCCAAAGTTTGGGCCCCAACCATCTTCTCTTCTCGACCTTTCCCGGGGGAAGACTTCTCCCCAGACTTATTATGAACATGTTTCCGAAGTCCAGGACTCCACAGTCTTGTCTTCTCAAACATTCCCTGGTGGAGACATCCCCTTGGACCTGTTCTGTATACGTTAATGAAGCCCAGGGTCCCACCATCTTGTCTTCTTGACCTTTCCCCAGGGGAGACTTCCCCTCAGACCCACTCTGGATACGGAAACCAAAGTTAAAGTCCACATCCATCTTGTCTTCTCCACCATTCCCTCCTGGTGACGTCTCCCTGGACCTGTTCTGGATACATTACCCAAGTCCAGGATCCAACCATTGTATCTTCTTGACCTTTCGG